GGGCGCGTGGCAGCTGGATCATACGTGCTTCAGTCAAGTCTTAGAGTGCAGCTCGATGCGCTGAGTTGGAAGGCTCACGCAACAACCGTTTTATTTGCAGGCCTCACTCATTCGGTTACCGCGCGCGTACGCGTGATCTCTTCAAGAGAGACTTCCGCAAGCACGGACCCATCAAGCTCTCCACCTACTTGCGTTCTTACCACGTAGGCGACATTGTCGACATCAAGGCCAACGCCGCTGAGCAAAAGGGTATGCCCCACAAGGTGAGTCTACGATGCGGCGGAAGGCCGGTCGTGCGCAAGGGAGCGCGGCTCCAGAGCGGCGAGAGATCATAGGGAATGTACGAAGCGCATGGGTGCTGAAACTTGAATCGTTACATCATCCGCGCTTTAGTTCTACCATGGCCGAACTGGTGTTGTCTTTGGTGTTCAACCTCGTGCAGTGCAGGTCATCGTCTACAAGACTGTAGGCAACCGCAAAATCGAGAAGCGCGTCAACGTTCGAATTGAGCACGTGAAGCACTCCAAGTGCCGAGACGACTTCTTGAACAGAGTCAAGGCAAACGCTGCCAAGAGGCTGGAGGCCAAGGAGAAGGGCGGTGAGTATTGTCTCGTCTGCACACGATGCGCTCGAGCGTAAGCTGAGACAAGTTGCTGTCTCGCTCTCGTTTCGGACTTGCAGAGAAGGTCAACTTGAAGCGTCAACCTGCTCAGCCTCGTGAGGCCTACGTTGTCAGCACCAAAAAGAACGCACCCCAGACGCTGGCGCCCGTGCCTTACGACACCAATTACTAAGCAGCCTTCATGTTGGTTGCGCCAGTCGTTCCTCCGCCTTTGCTCCCTTGCGTCTACTCTTGGTGGTGCGCCCACCACATCTCGGAGTATTCACTGTACTACACTCTTACAGTCGCTCTTGTCCACGACTGATGTGCGCTTACCACCAGTCGCGGCTACAAGCCCTCATGTCATGATCTCAAACACAGCAATCTCAAAACATAAGCTTTCGACAACGTTTCGGGTCATGCAATGGACGAGACACGTGCATTGATATTTGCTTCCAGTCAAGGCGGTCTTGTTCGCTCGGCTTCTTCAGGATGCCGTCTCCAGAATGGAAGGAGAGACTTGCCCTGCATAGTGGGATGGTCGGCGTGAGCGGGTTAGACGCATGGTGTCGAAAAGGGACAGAGCTGCGGCGGTGAGAGCGCATGACGGGTGTGATACACGGGCCGCTTTGGCACGTTGCGAATGTTGCGTGTGCGTGTGCGCGTTGCCGGGCATGGATGTATGCCTCTGCGATTCAGCTTTGGAAGACAGGACACCATTGAGAGGTCGAATGGGGGAAAGGTTTATGCGAATTAGAAGTACGCGCATGTTATTCAGTCTGCCCTTTTGCTTCGCGATGGAGATGAGACGGATGCATCAAGGAACGGTGACGGTGACGGTGACGGTGACGGTGACTGCCTCGAGACGTTGTTGCCGTCAAGACACGGCCCGATGTACTCTCTGCACTGACTCACAAA